ATACATAAAAGCACTCACAGTGACTTCTTTAGGAATACAAATTCAGATGTTGCATGGGGTCGGGACGGAGGAAGGGATTCAAAGATAGTTTTCACAAGAATCCAAGTTTTGAAGATAACTTATTGTCTTTAAAATAAATCCACTGGAGGTCTTATACTATGAACCTTTGAATCTATAGAAATGGTACATCGCATCAATTTCTAGTAGCTGACTTCGTTGTAGGAAAAAAACAACTGTTAGAAATTATTGTTAAGACTTTAAATGTTGTTGGGTTAGGTATCTATGGAGGTTTTAAGTATTGGATAGTAGCGTTCATATTTTAAGAAGCTTAAAACAAAAACTAAAACTGAACATAATTCCACCACAGACTAAAATAACCCCATCATATATATATATATATATATATATATATATATATATATATATATATATATATTCTTTTCTATCATGATGGAATTTTGTTTTACATTTGAAGAAGAATGCTAGAAACATTAAGACTTTTGCTGTATAGCAGAATTCAATTTTACCATTACTTAGCTTGATGGTATTTTAAGGGCAGGTCTCGTGGGATACACAAATAATCATTCAATATTCACTGCCAAATGTCTGAGCTCACCTCTCTTAAAACAATATTCAATTACAAGATGAAAGTAATTTACCCAAACAAAATAAAAAAACATAAACTTTAGATGATATTAAGGTCCTTCAAGGTGAATATTCCTCACCAGTAGTGATACTATGATATTAAATATATACATGGCATGGTTTGAGATATTATAATTGAGTAACTATAGCTATAAACTTTTAACTCAAAATTAGATACCATCTTCATTTACTGAGATAATTATAGAGTCCTTTAAATTTCTTAAATGAAAGAGAAAAAAAAGAGAAACAAAAATAATAGCTATGGCACAAAATGGAAAAGGATTTCAAGGGAGAAAGAGAAAGAAATCAATCTCTCTCTCTCTTTCCATCCACCCAACCTTCCTTAGGTTTTCTCAAAATTATCTGGAGAATTAAATGTAAGAAACAATTTCTTGGATTAGTATAATTAAATATGATTCCAAAATAATATAATTGAAGAATTTGCAAAATAGGACAGCCAAGTGATATATTTTTTCCAAAATTTTGTCCCTTAACTAAAATATAATTTCACAAGGGAGATCATGGAACTGAATATTGTAATTGCAGATATTATCAGATTTTAATTTGTAATGTTTAATATGTGGCCCAAAATCTAGTCATAGAAAGGGAAGATAAATTGATTTGTCCTTAGTATTTAAGTTTGCTACATAGTGATGTAGCTTGCTTCTTCAGAATTTCATATTTTCTTACAAAAGCATCAGGGTTGCTCTTTGGAATTTCATCTTGGCATGTAAATCATGAAAGCCAAGTTGATTAAAATTATGTATTTGTCATAACATATTCCAAATATTACTATACTCATGATATAAATTAGTTACAAAACTCAGTAAACTAGTAGTAATCTGAATGCTTCGACAAACTTGTTTTTGAAAACAGACTGACATACTCATTCCATTCTTCTGTCACAGAAAATTAACACCTTTATTTTATAGCAGAAAAAAAAGCCCTCCTTTAATAAAAACCATTATGATAGAAATATATTTTAAGAATTCCTAACAATATTTCTGAATGGTTTGTTTGCTTCCCCCTCTTAGAATAGTCTTTTATTTTTATTTAACTTATTAAGGTTTGTTTGCTTTTTAGAAGTAAAAAATCAGCTTCTTTATTTTTAACAATCATGCACCTAAATCCAAAACTTTCTCATACTGCCTTTTCATTCAATGCACATCTTTTTCTTAAATGTTTATATAAATTATACTTTCATCTTAATACATATTTCATATTATTACTTCAACATATTGTGAAAATAAAGAAATGAAATTGTGGAGTTTGGAAATAATCTCTCAGTTCTGGATAAATGACTGCTACCTGCACTTTCTAGCACCCCAGTGGGCTCTTCCTGACAACATTCTCATGGCTGTGTTACAAATCACACCTTTTAGTTAGTTCATTTTTATCTAGATTAGCTCCAAAGTCAATGTCTAAGTCAGTGTTCAGAAATGTTTGTATACCTTTACATCTATCTTGTAAGAGTTACTTTAAAGAAAAAATAAATCCGAACATTTATGTTACTTGTTTTATTTGCATGGTAGGCATACTTTCTTTTTTAAAAATCATGTGTATTCTACTTTATTTTAAATATTAGCTTTGTTTTCACTTATCAAGCAGTTTCTAATGTGCAAACAGCCTAAATAGCATAGAAACTGGTAGAATCCATGTCAGGAAATGTTACTGTAAGGATGAGTATCTAACAGTGCAAAAGTCAGATGTCAGGAAACAGATGTCCTTAAGCAGTGTTCTTCCTGACGGACACAAAAACATTGACAAGAGACATCTACCTGAGTCCAACCCATTGTTTTTTCTAGGCTTCTTATTTGATTATGACACCCCTAAAGGACTATCAGCCAACATTCCTATTTAGAACTAAGAATGAATTTCCGGAAACATTTTTATAAGTGGTGGTGGCAAACAGTTGAATTAATACTGAGTATGAATTTTTATGTGCCTTCAAGAATAAGTAGATTTTTTTCTCTGCCCTTACAACTTAATGACCATTTCTAACATGGATTTTATGGGAAATACCATCCAGATTTCCCAATGATGTACAAATAATCATAATAATCATAATAAATACAAAGCACTTTTATAGAAAATATAAAACGACTTTGCTAACGTACCTAAAAATTTTTAATTTATGTGAAAATAAGTTTTTCATTTTTTTCATGCATATTTGCTACAAGAATCATTTACTTATTGATATGTAATTACAACTATAGGTGCTGGAGGTCCCAACAGTCAAAGTTTAAAATAAAGTTGTAAACTTAATATAGAGAAAACAGTATCTATAGGTTTTAATGAATTATTTTGTTACCAATAATAAAGTACTATGAGATTTTTATTTTAATAGATAGGCAGTAATATAAAGTTTTAATTTTAAAGCTTTTATATTAAGATTCTGCTTCATTGGACATCCAGAAGTGAATAAAAAACATTAATGTTTTAATGAACCTTACTGATCTAAATAATAATGGGTAGCTTACATTGTATTTGAAATGATAAGATTTTCTTACCATGCTTAAGAAATCTGCTTTATTTGACCTACAGACCATACAGGAAACAAAATTCTCTTAATCATAATATTAACACAGTCTATCATTTTTCTATGAAATTATTTTGTCCTTAAATCATTGGTATTTTGAGTTATTCTTTTTGAAAGAAACTAAATTGTTTGCATTTATCATTAGAAGTTTCACTATAGTTAAGCTTGGAATTGATTTCAGGCCATAATTTTTTATTAGTTTTTTTATAAGTGATGATTTCTGTCAAAGGAAAGAATACTCAAGCAATCAATATTGAGGAAAGAATAAAGGATTTAGTCAAATAAGAGATAACGATACTTATTTTCTTCAAGTTCATAACAGCTATTATTGTTCTTTGAGAACAAACCACAATCCCTAGAAATGATGACCACAGAAAGAGTCTGGCAATCTTGTGCAATACCAAGTGTACTGTTGGACCAGTATTGCCGAAACAGTTGTCCCACTGCCTTTCAGTGATCCGACACATTGTCGGAGGAATAAACAACTCTCTCAGCCAACAGAAAGGTGGAGTTTCTGCTGTCTGCAGATTCTTGTTTTAGATCTTTGGTGAAAAACATATATGTATTAAATATGATTTTCTTACATTATTTTTATCAGAAAGGAAAGCAAAATGAGACCAAATAGATATTAATGTAAATTTTTAATGGTGTGAAAGAAAAACTTTAGAAACCAAAGCCTAGTTCGTTATTAAAATTTATTATTATCTTAATATGTGCATATATTATGTCTATTCACATACAAACAGAAACATACATTTTCAGTTTTAAAAACATCTTCATGTTTCATTTCAGAAATTCTTTGAACAAAGTTAAATATGGCAAGCAAATAATGTTCTTCGTAAACAATACTGAAAAGTTAAACTTTCTCAAATATACACAGTTTATTAGATATATTGAAAACCAAGGGACTAGCAAAAGCTCAACTTTATCATGATTATGTAACACTGCTATCCACTTGCAATTTATCTAAAGTAATATGCCTGCCTTTATGTCTTTCCTGCTCATAGATTTCAAGTCTTGATAAATGCAAAAACAATGTCAAAATGTATTCTCCTTCAAAAAAAATCATAAGGGTCATATCTTCCTTTTATTATATAAAATATCAAATTACAATTTGAATATGAGAAGGCATCACACTTCCAAAAAAAGAAAAACAATGCTTATAAAAAACATACTTCATAGACACTAGCTTTGGCATAAACCACTTCATACAGCTATTGATCAAATCAGTATATTGAAAATCCTATTACAAAATATATGGTCCCTTTCTACTCTGCAAAGGACATCTCGGGACACCACAGCCTTGCAGCTCTGTTCCATCATTAATTTCCTCCAAATAGACTTGGCAGGGCAATGAAGAACATCAAAATTTTCACTTAATTTCTGAAGAAAATCACACCATTTAAGGAACATGTTCTTGAAATTAAAATCTTTAAAACATAAAAGTCACTAAAGAAAAAAATGTAGATCTAAACACTTTTCTTAAAATATATAAAACCTTTAATTAATAGGTTCTTGTTCTTTAATTAGTAGGTTACTACACATACAAACATATCAAAACATATGGTATCTACCACAACAGAGCAAAGCTAATTTTGAAGTAGTCTTTCTAAATCTGATATACCAGCTCACACCTGATTCTAGCTCAGTTGAACTGATTTAAAAGCTTTATAGTACACTTTAGCAAACACCTGGAGGAAAGATTACCACAAATCACTTCAAACATCAAACCAAAGTGGACCAGGTGGACCTAATTTCAAAATAAAGTAAAACTCACAATCCAGCTCTTAGAATATGAAAGCATGCTTGCACCTACCTTGGCCTTGTCCATTCCCCTGAGGACTCCAAAAGATCACAATCAGCATCAGTAGTTCCGGAGTCCATGGCCACATTCTTTTAGTTACACTTTCTTGTCTTCTGACCATTGCATTTTAAACTCTGCATGAAAATAATAAATCACTATCTTAATAAAATGTATTATAATGCAAATCCCATATCTAATATGCACTGTGTATATTAGATTATCCTGATTACAAAATACAAATTATCCTGGTTAAAACAAAATCATGCCTCTCTTTGGGATTGCCATAGTGATGACTAATGTAAAATCTCATTCATCTTAGCCTTGCATTCTAAACATTCACCTGAATGATATTTTTCAATATTGGTTTCCAAATACAACATTAAGTTTACAAATGCTTAAAAAGTACTTCCAAAATACCTATCAGAGGTCAGTTAAACAAAATATGGACATTATTTGTAACTTGTTATTTTAGGTAAATTGATGCATTAAAAACACCATGCCATCTCTATGAACATATGCAAATATTAGGTCTAGTAATAATTAATGTCGTTTTCTAATACTTTTTTTAAATCGAATTTATTTAAACAATACAACAAAATTTAATCAACAATATAGTTGCCGTTGTTTTCTACTACTTGTGCCCAACGCTCAGGAAGCATTTTAATCCCTCTGTTGTAAAATTCTTGTGATTTTGATGCAAAAAATTCGGTCAATGCATTTTTGAGGCATTCTTCATTATTAAATTTTTTTCCAAGAAGAAAGTTTTGCAAAGAACGAAACAAATGGTAATCGGAAGGGGCAATATCAGGAGAATATGCAGGTTGAGGGAGAACTTCCCATTCCAACTGGCGCAGTTTTTCAGCAGTGATTCTATCGTGGTGAAGAATTACGCCCTTCCGATTAATCAGCGTGGGTTCTTTTTCTCTTAAAGCTTGGGCTAACCTTTCCAATTGGGCACTATACACTGCACTTGTAATGGTTTGGTTAGATGGTAAAAGCTCATAATGAAGAATTCCTTTAAAATTCCACCAAACACACAACATCACTTCTTTCGCATGCAAATCAGGTTTTGGCGTGGGCTGCGGAGCCTCATTTTTGTCCAACCATTGAGGCCGCCTTTTCAAATTAACATACAGCACCCATTTTTCATCTCCGGTAACAATTTGCTCTAAAAACGGCAAACGGTTTTGACGAGAGAGGAGCGAACTGCAAATTGTGACTCTTTGATTACGGTTGTTGTCGGTCAACTCATGAGGAACCCATTTTCCAAACTTTTGGACTTTGCCAAGTGCACGCAATTGATTGGAAATTGTTTTTGTGAACAATTTAAAGTTGTCGCAAGCTCTTGTTGGGTAATTTGAGGATTTTGCACCAAAAGAGCTTGAAGAGCTTCTTGATCAAAATTGGACACACGGCCTCGACCACTCTTGTCATCTAATGAAAAATTTCCCTCGCGAAATTTCTCAAACCAACGCTGGCATTTTCTGGCGCTAACTGCATCTTGACCAAAAGCACTACAGATGTTTTTTGCAGCCTCACTTGCTTTTCTTCCTAATTGGAACTCGTAAAGCATGCAGTGCTGAATATGCTCTTCATCCGCCATCTTCTTAGCCCTAGTTTTGCAACAAAAACCAAACCAAACACAAACTTTTTCAAGCCAAACTTGTTAATTGCACTTCACACGTTCTGTAGATACCACGTGTTTGAAGGTTATGTCAATACAAGTCAACGCCAAGCAAGATTTTAAATGAATGTTTGAAAACGACATTAATTATTACTAGACCCGATATAGTATAAGTATTTCATAATTTTCTAGTTTTTAATTAAATTGTATTTTAGTTATATTAGTAACTTTATCTGCATAAAAGATTTATCACATACACAAAACTAATCTTGTGTACTTAAAATTGAAAGCAAAATTAATCTTAGAAACCATAAAACATTTGTAGTTATAATTCCAGATGTATGTGATGAACCATAAAAACTCTCATGATAAAATATGATATCTCATATGATGAGGTATACCTGAAAGTTCATTTTGACACTATTTTTAATAATAAATAAAAATTCATAAATGTCCACCAAAGGAATGTAACAGTTGTAGTTAAGATAAATACAAGTATTTATATAAATATATGTATAAAAATATTTATATAAAAGTATTTATATAAATACATATATAAAAAATGTTAAGCAAAAATAGCAAGTTGCAGGATTTTTATACCATATTATATTATGGCATATAATATTATACCATATTTTTACAAGTAAAATAGTTAAAACTGTACATTTTATATGTGCATAAATGTGATACAACATAATAATGCATAAGAATGATAAACACCATGACCTAAATTAGGAAATTGCAAGACTACAATTTAAATAGTTATCATGAAAAATCTTCAAATTCCAACTTACCCACAGTTGACAATTATGGAGCTAAGGAAAGTAAATTTAATAATTTCCACAATAAACCCTGTATTAAAAAATACTACATACTCATAATTCTAGTAAACTTGGAAAGAAATTTCAGCACCCAGATTTCTCCTTCTCCCTTTCTTTTATATCAATAGAAGAGGATTTAATTGTTCCTTTTGCATTATGTAATTTCAGACATATAGTATCTGAGATTAAGGGAAATTTAAGGGCCATCCAATTTACCATCCTCATTTTAAATGAGCAAACACATCAAAAAGATTGCAATGATAATTTTCAAACCAATGTATAACAAAAAATGATGATGACAACAACAATGATCATTATAGTCTTGGTACTAATAAATATTTCTTTAAAACTTATTTATATTCAAGGTCATTGTACTATTTAAATACCTTACATCTCTTACCCCATTTAAATCTCACAGAAATCCTATAAACTGAGGATTTTCAAAATCACCATTTCACAGCTGAGAAAACAGAATTGTTCACAGAAAAGCTACACAATTCCCAAGTCATATGATTAGTTGGTATCATTTTCATGACTTGAGCCAAAACATGACTTCAGAGCCTACGCTCCACACAAGTAAACACTAAGTAGGAATTAGTCCTACATCTTCCAACTACAGTCAAGTAATCATCCCCCCCAAAAAAAGATGCAGCAAAAAGGGAAAAGTTAGCTTTGATATAGGACTATGCATTAATCCCAAATAAATATCTTCAAATTGAAAATCATTAAAATGTATGGCATTTGTATTATCACAGTTAATCCCAAAAGCATAAACACTTTCCAAAGTAACTTGGGTTATCCTGGGAAAATGTTAGTCCTTCCCACCACACATTATTATTACTAATAATTTTATGTTAAAGAATAAGATGAGTAACATTACAAAAGAGTAATGGTGATATCTAATTATTTGTTTAGAGATCAGGAAACAGGTCAAGAAATTGTTGCCAAAGACTCACTCTAGTGGTATGCATCTATCGGGTCTAGTAATAATTAATGCCGTTTTTAACATTCGTTTAAAATCTTGCTTGGCATTGATTTGTATTGACATAACCTTCAAACACGTGGTATCTACAGAACGTGTGAAGTGCAATTAACAAGTTTTGCTTGAAAAAGTTTGTGTTTGGTTTGGTTTTTGTTGCAAAACTAGGGCTAAGAAGATGGTGGATGAAGAGCATATTCGGCACTGCATGCTTTACGAGTTCCAATTAGGAAGAAAAGCAAGTGAGGCTGCAAAAAACATCTGTAGTGCTCTTGGTCAAGATGCAGTTAGTGCCAGAAAATGCCAGCGTTGGTTTGAGAAATTTCGCGAGGGAAATTTTTCGTTAGATGACAAGAGTGGTCGAGGCCGTGTGTCCAATTTTGATCAAGAAGCTCTTCAAGCTCTTTTGGTGCAAAATCCTCAAATTACCCAACAAGAGCTTGCGACAACTTTAAATTGTTCACAAAAAACAATTTCCAATCAATTGCGTGCACTTGGCAAAGTCCAAAAGTTTGGAAAATGGGTTCCTCATGAGTTGACCGACAACAACCGTAATCAAAGAGTCACAATTTGCAGTTCGCTCCTCTCTCGTCAAAACCATTTGCCGTTTTTAGAGCAAATTGTTACCGGAGATGAAAAATGGGTGCTGTATGTTAATTTGAAAAGGCGGCCTCAATGGTTGGACAAAAATGAGGCTCTGCAGCCCACGCCAAAACCTGACTTGCATGAGAAAAAAGTGATGTGTGTTTGGTGGAATTTTAAAGGAATTCTTCATTATGAACTTTTACCATCTAACCAAACCATTACAAGTGCAGTGTATAGTGCCCAATTGGAAAGGTTAGCCCAAGCTTTAAGAGAAAAAGAACCCGCGCTGATTAATCGGAAGGGTGTAATTCTTCACCACAATAACGCACGACCGCATACTGCAAGAATCACTGCTGAAAAACTGCGCCAGTTGGAATGGAAAGTTCTCCCTCAATCAGCATATTCTCCTGATATTGCCTCTTCCGATTACCATTTGTTTCGTTCTTTGCAAAACTTTCTTCTTGGAAAAAAATTTAATAATGAAGAATGCCTCAAAAATGCATTGACCGAATTTTTTGCATCAAAATCACAAGAATTTTACAACAGAGGAATTAAAATGCTTCCTGAGTGTTGGGCACAAGTAGTAGAAAACAACGGCAACTATATTGTTGATTAAATTTTGTTGTATTGTTTAAGTAAATTCGATTAAAAAAAAAAAGGTATTAGAAAACGACATTAATTATTACTAGACCTAATATGTATGCGTGTGTGTGTGTGTGTGTGTGTGTGTGTGTGTGTGTGCTTTTTTTATTTATCTTTTTTGTTAAAAGGGAATGATGCGGGTCCTAATATAAGGTGGCAGGAGAAGATTTGACTTTGGTGGTGGGCACACAATGCAATATACAGATCTTGTAACATAGAAACCCACACCTGAAACCTATATGTTCATGTTGACCAATGTCATCTCAAGCAATTAAAAAAATGTTTTAAGTATTACAGATGTCCCCCTTTTCCCTCATTTATTCCTTCTAGCCCACATCCACCCCATGCCCCAGGCCTACACCACACTATTGCCTGTGTCTGTCTCCATGGGTTATGCATATCTATAATAATAAAAGCATATTATAAAAATTGACCAAATGGCTGAACAGCAGAACAACCATCCGGACGAC